AGGTTGGACGGGGCTTGGAGCAACCTGGGCTGGTGGAAGGTGTCCCTGCCCATGGCAGGGGGTGGCACTGGATGGGCTTTGAGGTCCCTCTCAACCCAAACCACTTTGTGATTTTTGAAGGGTAAGAGCATTTCAGAGGGTTCCTGGCAGTCAGTGCTACCTGAGGGTGCTGCTGCTGTGGCTCCAAACACAGAGAGGAACTGAGCAGCTGCCTTCAAAGACAGCCGGAAATAAAAGGTCAGGACAGGAGTTGCCACATCAAGGACTTGGTACATTGATGCCTGTTCATCAAAACCACCTAGAGAAGGCAAAGGGAGCTTTCCTGAGAAGAAACTACCTCTAGATGTTGAGGCAGGATGTAGGAGATGGGGCTCCCCTATTCCCTGCAGATTCCCATCCCTACTGAGGTGTTTTTTCCCTCCAGTGAGGTCCCTTGTTCACTGGCTGAGGGAGGACGTGTGGAAGCTCATTCTCTTCCCCCCCTCCATCCCGTGCTGAGCCCGTCACCGACACTCAGAACGGAATTTAAAGGGCTTAAAAGATTTGTGTGTGTGGCTGTGCTTGGAAAGGAGCTGATACCATCTGAGCCCACGGTTATTTATTCTCCTTTATCACACAACGTGCAGCATATGGGCCCCTTTCTGCGCCGCCGATGACTAAACGATGGCATCTGGTGCTCCTTTATATCACAAGTGTAAAGCAAATGAGAAGAGATCCCTTCAGCCAACCCTCTGCTATTGTCACAAACACGCTCGGGGTGGTTTCGTTCCAAGGTGCTGCTTTGCCGGCTCTCGGAACGGTCTCGTTCGGAGCCAGGCGTGTTTCTCAGAGGGGGAATTGCTGGGGATTGGTTTCTTTTTTTTGCTTTAGTGCCCCAGCTGGTCCCTGCAGATGGGATCCCACGTCACCTGCTGCATCCTCACACCTGACAGGGCTGTTGGCTGCTCCTCAGACGGGACCTGCCGAGCGGAGACGGGCGCGTGTCGCTCCCGACAGCTGAGTAGCTCTTGGTTGCTGTTGCTTCTCAAAGCAGCTTGAGCAGCAGATTTTGGGAATGCCAGAGCTCATAGAAACATAGAACAGAATCATAGAATCATAGAATCATAGAACAGAATTGTGGGAATAAGACCTCCAAGATCATCAGCCTCTGGCAGAATCCCAGCCATGCCCCCTAAACCACATATCACAAACTGCTGCTTGTTTTTTGAACACTTCAAGGTTGGTGACCCCCCTCTCTCCTTGGGCAGCCTGGTCAGTGCCAGGCCACTCTTTCAGTGAAGAAATTTTCCCTGATATC